CCCGACGTTTCCGATGCTTTGCAGTCGTGGTCACGGGGGCCTTCTTTGTTTGATAATGGAGACCTCTCTACCTTCCATCAGGTAGGTATACCTACCCAAAATGCCAACGTAGGAGCTTCTAGGATGAAGGAGGCCATGCCTTTAACCGTTAAGTCATGGTGGAAGTAATGATTTAGTCCAGTTCTATACATCTTTGTACCTGCTACTCGTAATTGTTTTATCCACAAGAGATGAAAATAAGCGTGGTGCAAAATATAATCCAGCTAAATTATTATCAAGTGTCTGAAAGAAGGATTTATAGACGTGATATCACAGCGGAGTTATTGAAATATATGTCCCCAAAGACAAGTCTACATGGTCAGCAGTGGAGCCATTTTAAACTCACCTCTATTATCACTACAGAAGGACCAATATCGTGTATCTAAATACAACATAACATTACGGTATAACGAATAAACACAGCGAAAGAGGGATGAGTCGTTTCAAAACGAATCATAAATCCACCAAATAGTATTTGAATGTAGGAAGGCCATTCTTTTTCTTATCAGTATAGACGGCTACGTGAAAGACATTATTAGGGTATTGTATTGCTGGTAGCTTAATATATACTAGCTGTACTTGTGACTTCGTCCGCATGGAATAGTTATTTTGGGTTGGTTCCTTATAAACTTACCCACGACATCGATCGGGCCCCGTCGCTCGGGTCCCGTTGTTCTTGCAGGATAATCTTAAAAGATGGACATATAGTGTCGCGGTCTTTTTCTAGATCATTTAAAAGGATATCATTCTTTCATACATATATTTAAAAAAAAAAATTGGTGGTGGCTTTGTGGATTTATAATCCTCCTCCAGACCGAGAAGACCTGTATCCAGGAATTTAAAAAATATTAATAAATATTATACGTTTACCTAACTACTCGCGTAAACTACGAATACTCTCTTAAAGTTGTTTTATTTGGAATAGATTTGCTTAGAGTCATACGTATTAATTGGCAAACAGATATGGTATTTATAAAAAATAAATTATGTAAAAACAATAACAATTAACAATAGAGCACGGTCATGACCGCTGTTTTTATAAACTATTCGTTATGAATAAATTGTAAAAAATATTGTTATTTTTTATAAAACACCTGTGTACACAATGCTTACGACTTTCTTTTTCATATTCATATTCAATATTAATCGTTACTGCGCATGAGTATTTCAATAACGATTGAGGTATATATTATATACAAATTAAAAAAACGTTTCCTCAGTTTTGAAGATAAAGCAACTAAATTAATAAATTATAAATATTATTTCTATCCTGCCTGTCTCAAAAATCATACACTAATAATATAAAAAGATTCTTTTAGTAACAATTAAAGCGTCAAAACCAATTTTCATTTTTTTATTATTTAATCACACAGGCTTAATTTAAATACCGTCTGTAGCTTACGCAGTCTCAGTGTATTACATCAATACATAAATCGAATTCAAAATGAGCAGACGCAGACACAATAATTCGTCTAGCTTTCGCTTCGCTTGTGGAATCTTAGAACAAAAGGTGACGTCACACATGTACAGTTGACATGGCATGTGAATCGAATTCAGATAAAGCACGTCTGAGGTCCTAATAGTCATTGAAAACACTCGTGTATTCAGTTTGCCTTTTAGCAAATTCACGTCAGCATAATTTCTAGTAGAGCATTTAAGTACCATCGAGCGATATACATTTCTGACTTCAGAGACATACAGTCATTTTAAAGCTCTTCATTAAATATCAGTGCTATAGCTACTTAACTGTCAAAATGAATAATTCATATAAAAATACTTTTAACGGTATAAAACACGATATAACAAAATTTTGCGGCCAGCTTTGCAAAGTTATTGAGTTTGGGAGTTTTTCGACCGGCGTAATTGAGAATGGCTCTCGACGTTTCGCGATAACGTCATTTGATGTTGTGCGTTCTTCATAAGTGGAAAGTACCATAATTTCTTAATTATGTCACGAACAGTTCGAAAACCTTGCCAGTTTACGTAATATATTTTTTATATATTTTATTGTTCTATTTATATTTATGTAAAAAGTTTCAGATATAGTATAGCAATCGCTGTCACAACGTTTACGAGGAGGCTGTCTCGAATGTCACTGCCAAAACCTGCAATGACTCTAGGCTAATGTATATATCTATAGTATCTAGGCTAGATTATTAGATCTTATTAAAAATATGGTTTTTATTAGTCAGTGTGTAATACATTCCAAAAGATATCTTTAAAAGATAATAAAGAATATTTGATCGATAACGTTCTATTTACAGTACACTAAACTACATAGAGTTTTATTAATAATAGTAATTTTTAAATGATTGGCTTGGATGTAACATTTTTTTGGTTGAATTTATTAAATAAAAATTCGGGTTTAAAAATCGCTTGCACTAATGTATTAGGAAAACTCTTAATGCCGCACAAAGAAGTTTAGTAGGCACTTAAGTGGGTACTTTTCTTAACCAGGAGACGGTTCACAGTTTCGTTTTATATTAATAACTAGAGAGGTTATACTTTACTTTGTATTAGTGATTATATCAAATGATTAAGTTACAAAGCCTATTATTATATTTTTTAAGTTGAAATAAAAGATATTAATTCTTTACATATCTATACTATATTAGTATAAAGCTGAAGAGTTTATTTGTTTGTTTGAACGCGCAAACTCAGGAACTACTGGTTCGAATTAAAAAAATATTTTTGTGTTAGAAAATTTATTGAGGAAGGCTATAGGCTTTAAAACATTGCGCTGTGACTAATAGAGGCGAGGAAACAACGGGAAATGTGAAAATAAACTGGGGAAAATTTCTCTCTTTGGGTTTCTGACGCGTACGTTGCGAAAACGGTCCAAGATACCTATAAAATTTGTACGAAAGAATGATTCATCTTTAAATTATCTAAAAAAAAGTCTGCGACACTATATGTCTATCTTTTAAGATTAACTTGCAAGAACAGAGGTGAACGACGTCAACGGGTAACAGCTTAAGTTTATAAAGGGGTTTGCAAGAAACGAATTTCGATGCTGGGCAAAATAAATATTTTTAGCAGACGAAGTCGCTGCAACAGCTTGTATTATATATTTTTTATGTTGGGACATCACTTTCAAGGTCTACCTTAAAATCAGTGTAAAGCCTTGTGCACTATTTTGCTGAAAGTGAAACGTTTTTTTCATCAGAAACCTACTGTATAAATTTAATAATAGGTAATATTATATTTTTAACTTATTCTTGCTTTGACGGCAAATAAAAAAAAACGTTTTGTTTCTCTTTATTAGTAAAAACATTTGTAAATTATATTATTTATTTAAACAATTTATCACACAAAAGCACTTACATGATATTTCAAATTACCTTTCAAAATTTGCAGATCCTATTTTAATTCTGAAATGAAATCACGAGTTCTGAATAAATTTAAGTTTTATAAAAATCTGTTTGATTTGTTTTGACAGCTCAATTACTTAAAATTTAAAATTAATAAATCATGAACTTCTTAATAAATTACAAAATATTTATATATAATAAAAATATTAATTTATGAATTAATACAATACAAACATTCGCGTTTGTTCTATATACTTATTTTATTTATTGTGTTAAGAGTCTCGTCTTCGCAACCATTTTAGTAATCATATTTTGTATAAGAAATTAGCTATAAAGACTTGATTTAATTGATACAGATAAGAAATACTAGACTAGCAGTATCGGAATTTTGATAATTTTTTTAAAGATATTTTATTCATTGTTATTTGAAACGAAACAGTCATATACAAAATAATCGAATACTAAAACCAAATTGATTTAAAATTTTACTTATGTATATATACTTGCAGGAAATATAACATATCTATAACACAATCAAATAAATATCTACCTATCTTATATTTTGAGATTATTTGCTTAGAAATAGTTAAAAATGCTACACTTTTAAATTAAGAACTTTAACGGTTTAAAACGCCATATATATTAGTTGACACGTCGGGCCGTAGTTTAAATAAATGTTCAAATAAGTTTAACTAACATATATCGCATTTGAACCGTTAAAGTGCTTTTTTCATGTGCACTACTGACATAAATTACAGACACTCTTTCAATGCCACATATAGCAAATGTGGCAACGCAGAAAATTACACAACATTTACATATTAATGAATTTAGAATTGCTCACCCAATGCTACTACTACAAATTAGAATTTGCACGATACCCGAATAGTATGGGAGAGATCAAAACGAAATCGAAACGCTCTGAATACGACAGCCATATATCAAGACATTTTGTTGGCGCGTCATCGTTCATCGCAATAACAGTTCCTATTCTGTAGCGGGGTGAAGGAAAAGCTGGAAATAAATCCAATTTGTACCCGCATACATCATGGTCAGGACACGGCTACGATTTATTCACAATCATGTGTTTGTTCAGGTATATTTCTGGACATCAGTGTTACTAGGAGAACTAAACTCGAGAGAGGTGTCCATTTTTGAGTTGATAACTTTTGAAGTCACTGATAGCAGAGAATTTCGATTTGTATAAAGATGAGAATGATTAATTGTTGACGCGAATGTTACCATTAAACAGACGCTTTTAACGGTGTAAAACGGTTTATAACGGTCTATATATTTTAAACGTTGACCCGCCGTTTACTTTGTTATACAACCTCGTGATTATAGAGAAATATCAAATCAAATAATTTAATCCCAACACACACACAAAAAAAAGAAATTAATAATACACAAAAATACAACGACATAAATAATATTAGGTGTCGACACCACTCAGTTTATGTTGTACCAGGAAGTAGGCACAACGCCGATTTTCAGAAATGCCTCAATATATAATAGCTTTGAATATAAAAATAGTTTGTAGTTAAAAATAATTTGCTAATATGTTCCGAGAATGACACCATTACTAAATTTTTATTTGCGTAAACTAGAAGAGAAAAACTCTCTATAATTAGATATTTTTGGAAGACGGATTCACAAAAGCAACTCTACATTTGGTTCTACTGATTGGATGTAGCGTTTCACATTCAAAACCTTTGGTAATGTGGACACTAATGGCGCGGATAGGTCAGGATCTACAATGAAATCTTCAACTGTATACACGTCGCTGCGTTTAACTTTTCTCCTGAAAAAATGTATATAAAAGTGTAGAAGAAATTTGAAAATTATGCTAATCGTAAAACACTAATTCTATGTTGGTTGTTATTTTCAGAAGCAACTTTATTATTGTACCTACCTATATCTAAATAAAACACTTTTAAAACGCGAAATTTGAAACCCGTGAACACAGCTGCAAAGCATCCGAAACGTAGGACCTTAGTTAAAATAAATTGTAAATAATTTATTTTAACGTATGTTTACGTAGTATGTTTTTTATAATTCTTCTTACCATAACTCCTTAGAGATAACCGATCTTATTTGCGGCTGTTGGAAGCAGCCGAAAGAAGAACAGAAGACGATGGTATAAGCCCCTCGTAGGGGGAACACGAGCCAGTCCAAGTACGTGCAGCGGGGCAGTAAAACTTCAAAGTCACGCAACACTCGGTCAGTGGAGTCTAAACTGTAGCCCCATAAGATCGTTTTTTCTAGTGGTTCTTTTATTTTCTTATTCTTTTGTTTCTGGAATGTTACATATAGGTAAGTTACATATAAGCGCAATTTACTGAATGGTTAAAAGAAGGCAACACAAAATATTGGTAATATAACCGTGATTGTTTGGCTTAATAAACTACTAGATACTAATTTACATAAAACACTTTAACGGTTTAAACCGAAATATATATTAGTTAAACTTATTTGAAAATTATTTTAACTACGGCCCGACGTTTCGGATGCTTTGCAGCAGCCGTGGTCACAGGGAGACTCATGCCCCACACCGTGACCAATTTCAAATAAGTTTAATATATATCGCGTTTTAAGCCGTTAAAGTGTTTTATTTTAATGTGTACTCGAGTAAACTACAGACAGTACTAGACACTAAATTTAGGAATGGGCACGAAATTCCAATATAGCGAATTCAAAGTACGACGGTGCGTGGTGGAGCTGCTAGAATTGGTAAGTGCAAAAACGCGAAAAGGTATGGGTTGCAATTTTGGAGAAAACCCAATAAATTGTTCTATCTAACGCGGTAGAAGTCTAATAATCAATAAATAATTAAAACAGACATAGAAATTTGTCTGTCCCACATGAAAAACGAGATTTACACTGTTCTAACATAGAAAGGTGATAGTAATATTTATTTGTCTACATGGCTGCTTACTTATAAGTTAAATATAATCTAATGTAAAATTTATCTTAACTTCCAGAGCAGTAAGTGATTTATTCATATATAACAAGCAAGATAAAAGTAATAAGAGGTAATAAATCGAGGATAATCTATTTCCTAGAGTCTAGAGAGAGGAAATAAATTGCTACAGTTAAAGAAAGGCCTGTTTCTTAACGTTGAATAAAGTCTATAAGAATTATTATAATTTTATTCACTGGTAAAAATCTGTACTAATATTATAAATGCGAAAGTAACTCTGTCTGGCTTTAACGCCGAAAATACTGAACCTATTTAAATGAAATTTGGCACACACATATTCTAGAGCCCGAGAAAGGACATTAATCCCAAAACATGGTTGTTAGGGGTTGAAAAGGGGGATGAAAGTTTGTATGGAAATTCGTGATTTTTGAAGCTAGAACAATGAAACTTTCTTCTTTGGTTTTTTTGGCTACGGAAGAGGAAGAAGCCTATTCGTGTTTTTATCTCTAATGGCATATTTGCGATTATTACGAGTAAAGTTGTGCGTCCTTAATGTACTAATATCTCATGGAATAACGCAAAACTCTAATGACCCATACAAAACTAAGTAATTAATATGAGAAAATTCCTACAAGTACCTCCACTTGTATCTTTCTCAAATAGTACTTGGGGCTACTTACCTCAAACTTCTCCACGGTTTGCCAACTTTCAGCATATTGCAACGTACCATATATTCCGTCATTTAAATAAATCATGTTGATATATTCATCGTTTTTCTTTACCTGAAAATGAATACGCATTGCACTATCTGTGTATCTTACGCGATTATACATTTAAAAAAAAAACAAATTTAACGGTTTGAATCGCATAATGTATTAAAATCATTTTAAATTATTTTTAAATACGGCCCAAGGTTTTGGATGCTCTGCAACAGCCGTCACGGGGAGTACAGTTCGCGTTTTAAACCGTTTAAAGATTCGTTCTTTATGTATTATTTAGCAATATAATTTGTAGTGTAGTGTATATGAACACATATATTATGTATTAATAAACAGACCGCATTTTCATTGAAGATCAGTATTATCATATTTCAAATTATAATATTGTGTGTGAAATCCCGTTTCCACCTCGTGGGGCATGGGGCGAACACATTTCTGTGTCCGTTTTACTGATCCGTTGTTTAACATCTAAGTAGTTGATCTGACTTCTGTGCCCTGCCTCACCGGAACAATTTTTTGTCTCTCTGGGATTCGAAACCCAGGACATCTCGTGCTCGTGCAATGCTAGGCAATACGTTTAACCATTTGGCTACAGAGGCGGTTAAAATTATAATATTAATATACTTAACATACTGCTTCAATATATTCCTATGCATATTTCTTATTTTGATGTGAGTATTGCAAATTTTCCTAGTGTATAATGTTTAATATTTTATTCCTATTAATTAGAATTCACGTCTTTTTTAAATTTATATTATAAGACAAAGTACATTATCCTCCAGTATTCCACAGACCGACATTTGTTTCACAAGAAATTTAAATAAAACACTTTAACGGTTTAAAACGCGACAAATTACTTGTTTACTTCTTTGAAAATGATTTTTAATTTCGGCTCGACGTTTCGGATGCTTTGCAGCAGCCGTGGTAATGGAAAGACAATAAGTTTAACTAATATGTCGCGTTTTAAACCGTTAAAGTGTTTTATTAAAAATTTGTACTACTCGCGAAACTATAAACAGTATTTATCAAGAAATTGTTTTAATTTGTATGACTTCAACAAGTGTATAATTTTTATAAAGATTCGAATCCAAGGCATCTATCGCAAAACGTATAACAAGACAGCGCGAACAACTAACTGCTGAAACATAGCCTTTAAAAATAATTGTTGTTATGACAGGATATCTATATTTCTATACTAATATTATAAAGAGGAAAGATTTGTATTTTTGTATGTAACGGATAAACTCAAAAGGTACTGGACCGATTTTAATAATTCTTTTTTCATTAGAAAGCTACATTATCACTGAGTAACATAGGCTATATTTAGTACTCGGTTACTAGAGGCATTTATAGAAATTCTTACTAAAACCAACGGAATATTCAATTAATATTCAAGACTGTCTCAATACCTAATGCTTACTTTTTAAATTATTGAAAGCGGCGGCCGCCACGCGTTTTATTTTAACATTCTTATGCTTCACTTAAAAAGTTATTTTCAGAGCTACTTAGTAACATATAAACTTACTCTTTTTACTGAGTTGATACTGCAATATAACGTCATACAAGAATCGGATATATAACGTCCTGGCTCGGCAATTATCTGTACTTTATTGTCGGGAAAGAATTCCTCTAACGATCTGTTAATTAGACGCGATACCTGGAACAAAAATACACAATAAAGTTTAAAAATATATCAATAACATTTTTCAACTTCACAAGTCTACAATAATGCTTGCATTAAAAGTTGCGCCTGCATTATCCGAGTACTTTTATAAAGAAAACAAATGAAGTAATTATGATAAAAATCACTAAAATTTGATGCATAAACATTAGAATCCCGGTGAAAAATTCAATTTTTTTGAGCAACGAATTGCCTGTAAATAAAATCGAACAGTGACATGGACCCAAAAAACTTGTACGACCCATTCTTCAGGGGAAAACTGCATTTCCTTACTTCATAACACAAATAAAACATACTTATTAGAATTTATTAGGGATAATTACTTAAATACTGTCTGTAGATTTAGCGAGTAGTACCTACACATATAAATAAAACACTTTAACGGTGTAAAACTCTCTTTAAGTCCTCCTGTAAAGGTTTTGAAACGTCAGGCAGTAGTTAAAATACTCTTCAAACAAGTTTAACTAATATATATCGCGTTATAAACCGTTGTGAGAAGACTAAGATTTTCCACACTTGCAGTCTAAATCAACAAGTAGATTTTTCTATCGCCGTTAACTATCCAATTAGGTAGTACTTGCTTACCTCGTCAATATCACTAGTATTTTCGCTAAGAAAACCACCGCCAATGTCTAATATCTTCATTTCTCTGCCCATACGTGTTTCATGATCGAACAGGGATTTAGCTAGACGGATACCCGTCGCATGACTGTCTTCAGAAATACACACACTTCCTACGTGAAATGCTACTCCAACGACCTGAACAGATAAAGTTATTTAGACACAAAGCGAATACAATAGATTTATTTATAGGTTGTATGAAATACTGGTGCGACGATTAAAAAATATTTGAATTTCTCGAAAATGTCGTCTAGATAATGGTTAAAAGTTAAGATACAATTTGATAGTATATATATAGAAATTCAAATTCATAGTATACTTATTTTGAATAATTTGTACTCGTAGGTTAAACGCCTTTGATTATTTTACAATACTTACAGACTAAATTAGAAAAAAAGAACGATATTTTCTCACGTGACATATGTGTATATTACAATTCGCGTTACCTTGATATTAAGACTTGCCGCTTCTTCTAATAATTCGATGGCTTCAGTTTCAAAATCACAACCAAATTTTTCACCCAAACGATAAACGCTATCTCCGTCCACTCTTAGTCTAAGAAGAAGTCTGAAAACAGGTTTGTTTATTTCTAGGATAATAAATTTTTAATTGGAAATTATTTTTAATTTTCTTTAAATGACCTTTATACATAAGTGCATTAAAGACTGTGGTGAGTTTGTGTGTTTTTGAGCACTTGTGATGATGAAAGTTCGAAAATCATTTCTCAGTTATGATGTCAGAGCAGCTCAAAGACGTTTTTCCTGATGTCCTTATAGTCCGAGTATATTTTAATTTTTTTAAGGCGGTAATAGTTTCAGGTTCAGTTAGATTAAAATTACTAGTTATTTTTTGTTTTGGATAGATTTTAATCATAAGTCGCATTAAAAACATCAGTTATAAGTACCTAAAGCATACTTATAAATTGTATATTATAACCGTTGTGGTACAAAAATTGTAACACCTTATGGTCTTAGTTTGACATATTAATAAAAAAAAAACAATTACCTTGCTTCTGGCCAATGCTGCTTGATTCTTTTTAATTCGGAAGATGAATCGAATGTTGCATGAGTTATCCCCGAATTACGAGCGTACACCATCCATTCAGGCAATTTTATTGGTGAAGCAAATATTATACTTCTACAATTTTAAAATCTCGTTGAAAGAAGAAGTGTTATATAGTTGAAAAAAGAATAACAACACATTTCAGTTGTTACCCGTCAGGTTTTTTAACATTACCTCTAAATCGACAACCAAATTTAAATTCCAAAAATTCAATATCCAATAAGATACAATGTTAATCTTTTGGATAGAAATATAATGCTATTCAATGTGCTAATTCATTTTCGAATAGATTTATTATTTAGCTCGAATCAAAGAAACATCCTTGTTGCAATTAAAATATTAGTAGACGAATACTAACCGAGGGTTCACTCCCAGTTTCAGTATCTTGTGAATTTCACCAGGTGTAGCGCAGTCAAAACCTAAGCCGAGCGACGCAACTAGTTTCAACAGTGCTTCATTATCATTGGATTTAATTGCTGCAAAGTTTAAATAGCGTCAACAAAGACACAATTTATTCTGATGTAAAATTATCGATATATATTAATGATATTCTGAAAATTTCAAAAATACAGTAAATATGAGAGTAGACTAGGAAAAGGATAAGCTATTCAGCTTGTGCTGAAACACATTGCGATTTGCAACAAGCGCCGATTTTGCAGTGGCCTCCGTGGCTTTGAGCTTGTGACACTAACAAATTAAAATATAAAAAAAATAATTACATGACTACGATATAGAGGAAAAAGTCACAATGTAGGGAAGGCTTACAAATTACAAGATTTCTAAAGACAAGTTTTTACTGTACCGTAGAATATGCCAACACGAGGCATCATCGTCTGAAAGTACTGGATACGGCGGCTAGCTTCATCTAGATTTTGGATAAAGAAAGGCTCTCTTTGCTTTTCATTTTCAATAACGGCATCGGCAACATCTTCAGCCGTAGAATCTTCTAGTACGTACGTATCAAGAGTAAATCTTGACATATTAAACTGTTTATAAGGCGTAGTCCTGAAAACAATTTGAAATATAATAGGTCTGTAATTTACGCAAATTTTATGATTTAAATAACACTTTTAACGGTTTTAAATACGAAATGAATGTTTCAAGTTTTTCGATCTTTTCTAAGCGGTGAATAAACCAAATATGTTAAAATGAGATTACTTTTTAAATTAAACTACTGATCAAAAGAGTTTTTTAAATTTTTAAACACAATGTGAATTTTAACAAGAAGTAATTATCTTTTTAAATACGGTACAATTCATTGCTACGAAACACATAAATGAGACAGAGAATTATGTAGATGTTTATATATGCTCAAGAACACTAAATTATAATATTAACAATGTCAATCATTATTTGAAAAGATTTCTAGGTTTTTGTTTTAGACGCATTAATAAAAATCTGTTAAGTAAGTGCTTTGAAGGTTATTTCCTTCTTGAACATTTATTTTCCTTTTTTTTATGTAGCACGTAAAAGAGAGGCTAGCTGGCCTGGGAAACCATTGTCATTGCCCTGTTAAGTATTTCGACAAAATTAGATTATTATGAAAACGGTTCTTGTGAGGTAATCCTAAAAGATAGACACATACTGCCGCGGACATTTTTGGATTGCTTACAGAAGAATAGTTTTTTTCATACATATTTTTGAGGCATTCTCAACTGTTTGTACTTTTAAATAAAACACTTTAACGGTTTAAAACGCGATACATTAGTTAAACTTATTTGAAAATGATTTTTAACTTCAGTCAGTCTAACAGTCTCCGTTTTAAACTGTTAAAGTGTTTTATTTAAATACATAATTATAGTTATAAAAAAAATCAAAACACAATTCTTTCTATACTATTGTTACAAAATAAGGTATTTATACACTAGTATGTACTTTTCTTTAGCAGAAGTACAAATTTTTAAACTTTCACTCTTATACTTGCATAAGGACTGCAGATTGCGTTTGCAGCAATATTGTAGACATTGTTACCAAAAGTTAGATGGAACCATGTTATGTAGTCATGGTGTACTTAAACTTACACGGCGGAAGGCATTCCGGATTCGAAATAGACCGCTCTTGAAATGAGATTGTGTATTGCACTAAATTATGACAGATACTTATAACATTATTTATAAACTAGCTGTGTCAGCGACTTCGCCCGCGTAGAATAGTTATTTTGGGCATCCAAATTTCTTTTTCCTTCTCTTAATCATCATAATCAAAGCGCGATGCTTTATAGCCTTCCTCGATAAATGCTCTAATGAACAAAATTATTTTTTCAATTCGAAGCAGTAGTTCCTGAGATTACCGCGCTCAAACAAACAAATAAACAAACTCTTCAGCTTTATATACCTATTAGTTTAGATACAAGTTCAATTGTTTAATTACATAATGTTAGTTGAATAAAAATCTATTGATATATAAATTTATTAAATTATCTTCTATAAATTTATAAAATGTAATGAGCAATGAAAAATATAAAGTTTTCAAATATATTACTTGTAAACATAGATTGACTTGGATTTATTTTGTCGACAAATGAAAGCAATCACAGTTCAACTAAATAAATGAAGTCATGGTATTATATTTTTTTAGTTTTAATTGTCACTACCAGTATGTATATTTTAGCAATGAACTAAAAATTAACAATTACATTGTTGATAAGAATATGTCATTTCAATGACTTTCATGTTTTTCTAAAGGTTACTTAAATAACAATCGCGCGCAATTTCCGTCAAATACAATATTCCAATTCGATTGTAATATTTACAGTCAAAAACAATATGTAAACATTTTTTAATTATATTTTCATATTCATATAGAATGTATGATCTTGTGATAATGAAATATACGCTAGTTTAAATAAAAATTTATTTGTATTTTTAAAAATGACGACACGAGAGAGAGTTGAAACGACATCCACATCAATCGGCACTGCTGCTCTATCCACTTGAGCTACTATATCTAATAGGTCATCGTCGAATTTATTCAACTCATTGATAAATACACCTCTCTCTAATACAATTTCAACCTTAATGTTTCTTTATTAAGATTTGAATTCCTATGCTATGCAGCTAAAGAAATCACTGAAGATGTAATAATAGAGTTTAATATCTCAAACTTTCTTATTATTCACAGGACATTATATGGTCGAGTCCCGCTCATGTCTTACATTGTTTAAAGTAGCTAGATTTTTAATTATATATTTTAATATGTAAAAAAAATAAAAAAAATAGTTACGTCAGTTCGTCGTTGTCAAAAAGAACAGTGTTTAGTAACATTCGTTGCTTGTTCGAAAAGTGGCTCTCGTAGCCTCGCTGATAATGGAAATATGAATATATGACTGTGAAGGCGGTATTCCCATTGGAGTACGATTTTCCGAAGAACTTGGCCCATAAATCCACGCCCCACTTGATGCTTGTTTGCATAATACACGACTACTCGGCTCTGTTTCATTACTTTGATGGCTAATACATTCCTCTGAGTGTCCTGAAATTTCATGTTAACATTTGTACGAATATATTTCACGGGCTCGTTAGTGTAATGGTAGTAATATATATATAACGACATTGATCCCTTTTTATTAAGTGTGCCCTTAGCAAAAAGAATCTTATTTCACATTTTTTCTAATGCTTATAGTACTGGATAAGCTAACACTCATTGCTGTTAATTAAATTGATAAAAAATAAATCGTAATCTAAGCTCGCATTTTTGTAAAATTCTTGTAAAATTGTGTAAATTTTTACACTTCTGAAGCTAAATGTTAAAACTTTTAATTGGCTCTCTGACATGTAATATTTTGTATATAATATCCTATTGTTATTAGCTGTAAGTTTTCCATGTTTTAATAAATAAATAAATAAACGGGTCGTTGGTTCGATCCCTACCTTATCTATTTATATTTTCTCTGAATCATGTTAGACTTCGTTCTAGGGATTTTCCAATTGCCAAAGCCGAAACAGCCCATCTTTATTAATATTTTATATGGCTGTGGTATTTCATCTACCGTCAAGATACAATAGATAAGTAGGTATGGGGTTCTACTTATCTATCATCTTACTACTCTATCATACAAATATAAATGTGTCTCCGACGGTAAACACGTTTTCTTTCAGCGCTTATAAACATTATCTGTTTTTTAAAGGAGCACATTTAAAGTTTTTAAGACCTAAACACAATATTGTTGGTACAGATATTCAACAGACGCAATCTATACTAATATATAAAGCTGAAGAGTTTTTTTGTTCGAACGCGCCTATCTCAGGACTCGAATTGAAAAAAAAATATGTTGGTTAGAACATTTATTGACGAAGGCTGTGACTAATAGAAGCGAAGATACAGCGGTAAATGTGAACAAAACGGGAAAATGTTGATCACTGTGGGTATCATATGCGCTGCGAAAACGGTTCAAGATAACTAAAAAATGGAATGGAAGAATGATTCCTCTTTAAATGATCTAAAAAAATATTCGCGACACTATGTGTCTATCTTTTAAGATTAACTTGCAGGAAGGACGGGACGCGAACGACTGGACGCGACCGATGGCAGCTTAAATTAATAAAGATTTTGATGCTCAAAATAACTATTCCACGCGGACGAAGTCGCTAACACAGCTAGTAGAACATAATAGAAATAGGTTTATTATATGTCTATCTTTTAAGATTATCTTGCAAGAACGACGGGAAGGGACGCGACCGACGTCGTGGGTGACAGCTTTTGATTGTGACAGTTGAGATTCAAAACAAGCGTTAAGCTAAACGTCATTTGGATTTTTCGTAAAAAAATACCCGTGCCTCTGCCCTGTCGTTACGCTGTCGGTTTTGATTATTATTATTTATTCATCATATATTTAGTTCGTCTGATCTCTAACTCTCTTCTATATAATGAGATAGACCTGTGTCCAGTAGTGATACATTAATAAGTTTCAACACCAAACTGTTATCCGTCTTAAAAACAGCAACGAAACAGTTGAAGGAAGAAAATTGTTTGCTTTAGCGGACTCACTATGCGGAGCACAAACAAATTTAAGTCAGACTTTCTAAATTGTTTTGTAATAACTCTCGCCAAGTTTAAATTTCGTGCCAAAAGTGTTTTTAACAGTTGCAAGCTAGTTGTTGATTTCTTACCTTTTGCGGGTAGAACACTAAAACGGCCCCTTCAAGTGAAGACGCGCGCAATATTTCACAAAATAAGATTATATTTCGTTGAGTTTTAAGTATAGTTTTGAAACAGCTCTCACATGCACTTGTAAAATTCGCAAACTAATTTTGACAAGAATAAATCGTCTTCGCTTTATAATATTTACAGGAAAATTTCATTTACACACATAAAATTAAGCACATTCGCCGGTTTTAAACAACATACGAGTATATCGATAATTTTACTACGACACATCAAATTGTTTATTCTTTGCGTTTTTAAACCGTTCAAATTTGTTTTATTTTATTTGTTCTACGCGCGTTAACTAACTTTACATGAATTATAAATAAAAACTAGAGATGGGGCGAGTAGTCGGTAGATACTCGGTAATCTGCGCACTCGGCGAGTTTCTTAATACACGTACTCGGCCTAATAATTAAGAAAAGCAATATATTTAGGTAGATATAATAAAATCAAAATTGTGCTAATGAATGAGTAGTGATGAGACAAAATAACAAGATCACTAATAATAATATTCCATATTTAAAATTTAATGGGATTTTGATTGAACGGCCGAGTACTCGGTTGGAAAAAAAATGAGCCGAGTAAAACTCGTTACTCGGCAAAAGTGTTACTCGGCTCATCTCTAGTAAAAATATACACATTTATAAAATTTTCACACTCAATTATTGAGGTAAGTATCTATTATCGACAAAACGAGAAACCTTGAATGAAATACAATTTCTTATGAATAATTTAAGGTGCCTGAAATACCTTTGTAGCTAATACGAAATTAAATAGTAGTTATATAACTACTATTTATTTTTGTCTTTATCAATTTATTCCTATCGCTCGCAAC